CAATTATAGCTCCTTTTTGTGGTTTATACTTAGGATCCTAGGCGGTAATCCGAAAAAAGGAGCTACCATGGAGCCTATGGGTGGTGAAGCAACATCCTCGAGGTTCGGAAGCCCCTTCGAGGCGATCCTGCAGACCAGCCGAACTTGGCAAACACAAGGCCAGAGCTCTCGGCGCCTGAAGCGAGTCCCGCAAGGGTTGACTGTTTGGATCTGCAGGTCACGGCCTCAGAGAGTCGTCCCAGAGACTCCAATATCCCTTAATTAAGGAATATACCTTAAATCATAATTGGGGATCCTACTATAATTGCAGGTATATTCCTTAATTATAAGGGATATTGGAGTTTTTGGGGTATTGATAGGCAGAAGCTGGATGGACCAAGTTGCAGCGTTTTTGAAGCCGAGTGCACCTGTGCAGCTAGGCCCATCATGTCCCTGCTTGAAAGATAATTCCGTGCATGGCTTTACACGAGTTCCGTAAGGTTTAGGGTTTGGGGTTTAGGGTGCTACAGGGTTTTATGGTTTGAGGTTCAGGGCTTCGGGCTTTAGGGCTTAAACTCGTTCGAATCAGTAACTCCTGATTTTGGTCTCTAGAGCTCAGTTCAGGGTTTCGGTTCAGTGTTTTCAGTGTTGGCATCGTCAGCTATTACTTCGGTTGCTGCTCAACAAGAGTACGTAGCATCTTCGCAAGTTTGTTGACCGCCATGGGTGCGGAGTGCCTGCTTTCCATCATGGCTAGTGCTGTTCAGGTGTTTGCAAAGGTACAGCACATACGTAGCGTCGATTGTGTAGAGATAATTGGAATAGGGTTTTGCGGTCCTTTATAGTATAACTATAATAGTATAACTGTACTAACGAACCCTCAAAAATATTATAGGTAATTATTAAGGCCCCTACATTAAGCCTGTTAGCATGGTGACGGTCATGGCCATTGTTGCGGCGACATTAACTAGTAAGTCTCACTTTGATATTTGTTGAAATGCCCCGCGAGTAGTATCACACATACAGACTTTGGCGCGCGCGCGCGCGTGCTGGGGGGCGGGGGGGGGGGTATATAGGACACTGCCCCTTCTTGGCTGCGTGGAAAGTAGCGGGGTGTTTGGTTCAGACCATGCCATGGGCACGTCACAGTGTCATAAAGCGTTCTTCGAGGACCCCAAAGCTTCCTTCCTGAGTCGAGTCTAATTCAGCGGGGGAAGGCAGGACGGATTCAGGAAAGGCCGGGCTGGTGGACATCAAAAGACCCGCATGTCCACATTGGACCCGAACCGAATCTTTGTCAGGGCATTCGGACCAACAACGAACATTGCTAGGAGTCTCTCCCACGGGCCCCAAACATATTTCCTGTAAAGTCACAGTCCGAGTCCGCCTCTCCCGGGCGAGGCGAACTCGACACGAAGCAACAGACTTTTCGCGATTTGTAGCCGCAAGCTGTGCCTTTATACTCATGTTTTCGGTATGCCCTGTCGAATGTGGTTCTAAGAAGACTGGTATGCCCTAGTCTGAAAAGGCGGGGAAGTTGTTTGGTTTACCACTCCAGCTGAAGCTGCGCAGCCGAATAGCTTCGGTCGTGTCGGAGAGACTTGAACGACGAACTGACTGCGACAGTGGCGGAGCAAAAGAGCAGCAGATAGCCGCGGTATGCTTTATCTGAAGGTTGTTAAAGGTGACCGAAAACTGCCTGTGTGACTGTCGCAGGAGCACCCTGCCGAAGCACTAGCGGAAGCAGAGTCCCAGTTGCTTGATGCGAGCAGGAGAGGGAGAGAGAACTTCGTCCGAGATCGGAGTCCGCCGAATTCGACGGTGTGGCGGAGGGTTGGACGACCAGGGCTCGAATTCCACCGAAGATCCTTGCATCTTAAATGCTGAGCCCGCCCCGAAGAGCCAGGAACCGAGACTGACAAAGCTCCAAGGCTGGATGATGTGCCGGAACACTTCAGGAGAACTCAGTCTTGCCGTGCTCTCCGAATATCTGCATCGTTCTGGCCCATATAATTCGTTACTGCTACGATGACTGGAGCATTGCTATGGTGACTATGGCTTGACCTAGAAGTTCCTTCCTCCGTGTGGTAGCTTGGGGAGCCAGGGTGTGTAAAAGATGTCAGCGATAAGGACCCGAAAACGTCCCAGCGGGAGTCGGAAGTTGCAAAGCTGTCCAAAACGCCCAACGCTGCTGTTGCAACCGAGACGACGAGCATGGCATGCTCCCCTGCCCTGTGCCCTACCCGTCTACGTCTAGACCCGATACCTTCTGCACCGCTTTAATACCGATCATAGCCGCACAGTGGAGTTTGTGGCATGCGCCCCATGTGGGAGTTTCAGAAAATTAGGGGTACCTGATTTTGGGGTCCTTATAATAGGGATCCTATTATTTAGGGTACTATATTAGGGTCCCCTATTTTCGGAAACCCCCCATGTCTCTTTTGAACCCTGCGACAACTTGCCGAGAGCTTCGACGTCTCGGCATCCCAGGCGCAGGGAGCCCACGGAGCCCAGGGTCGAGGCTTCGGCCTCTTCCTCCTCCAGGCGGCAGACGGCAGGCGGCAGGCGGCAGGCGGCAGGCCAGGTGCAGGCGGCAGCGCCGGCCAGGGTGGCCCGGCAGCACGGAGGCTGAGAATCGGTTTAGGGTTTAGGGTTTCTGGCATATGCGTAGTCCAGGCAGTCCAGGTGTAAAAAGGGTTTAGGGTTTACAACCATCGGAGGTTCCGAAATCCAGCCGCTGAGAGGGCAGAGCTCAGGCTCCTTCGGCCAGTGGCGACTTGGTCACCGGGGCACCCTCTGCGGCAACACATGCCACCAGCGCAGCGCTGTACCCCATCGCAGCTTGGCAAAGTTTGGGTTCCAGGATGTGCCCACGAAATGGTGGTATGACGGACTGCCGAGACGACAAGAGGGTTCTGCTTAAAGGCTCTATAGGACTCTTAGGGCAGGGACAGCATCTAGGCCCCTTGAATCCAGTTCAGCCGTCGCTTGTGCAAGTGTTGCAGTGAGAAAATTGATTGTGTCACCTGGGTCTGAACGTACTTCAGCAGATATCGGCAGATATGGCATAAAGGCAGTGTCTGCGAACTCTCTGTGCGCTGGGGCGGTAACTTGGAAGCTCGTTCGTGCAGAACTTGGTCTTTTTGAAGACGCATGGGAATTGCCTCACAACTTCTGGCGCTCGGTAGTTGTCAACGCCATGGTACTCGTTCATGCACGACAGCAGCCAGAGGCCCTGATTGACCCGTGGGAACTTCAAGCCTTCAAGCTTGCCTGCGTCAATGTGCGATCTTGCATTCCCGGAACATCCCGCAACTATCCATTGTGGCAAAACACAAGGCTACGCCAACGGTCGTCATGCGATCAGGGTTCACCCATGCATGGACATACCCGCACGTCCTCTGAATTTGGCTAGGTCTCTCATCAGGCAGGCATGGCAGCTTTCTCATTTCAACTTCTGTGCTTTTCCACAGGCCAAGTGCGACCGAGCAAGCAGCCAGTATGCAATTGAATCAGTAGGTTTCTTGTGCGATGTCGTTATGGCTCTCCATGCCATCCTGGCCGCCAACAACGGGCTGGGACGCTTGCATGGAATAGCGTTGAATGGGGAAACCAAGCTCGTTCCAGTTTTGCTGTTTAACAGTTTTTGCAGTGTCATTCTTTCAGAGCGTAGAAACCTCATCAGTGGAAGGGGGTGGATTGAGCCTGAGGATACTTGGCCCTCCATGCCGTCCAATTCGGCGCACAGCCGCTTCTCGCCAAACGATGCATTTCCAAAGGCACACCAGTGCCAAGTCTGGTCTTGGGTGCTGAGGCTGCCAAGGCAAGTGCTTTCGTGGATCTTGTTCGAGCTTCATTGCCACCTGGTGCGCCAATGAGCTGCGTGACAGGTCATCGCGTGTTTGGGACTGCTGAAAGTTGAAGGCAAGCTCCAGGACCGACGGAAGTTTCGGTTTTCAGCCGGTAGTGGAGTAACAGCAACTCCAACGACAGAAGGTGGAGGTGCTAGCATGGAGGACTGCGGGTGCTTCCTCCAGGTAGAAAGAGCCAGCTCTATGTCGACGACAGCAAAAAGTAGTCGTTATACGTTTGCTCACGTGTGCGATGCTGTATGGTGTTATCTGTATCTGTAGCTGTTTATATCCTTTGTTATCTATCTAAGTGCTTTATCTATCTACCGACCTACCTATCAACCTTCCCGGATTCCCAAATGGCAGCGGGTCAAAACCTTCTGGTTTGTAACAGGGCCGGGGCGCCCCTTGCGCGACAAAGTTTGTAACAAAAATGTTTGCTTTTGCGACAAGGCTGGCGCGACAAGGTCCCTCATGTGGCATTGCCGCGCGACAAAGGTTTGAAACAAATCCGGCGCGACAAGGGTTTGTAAGAGAGGGGGGGAGGTGGGGCCCCGCGACAACACGGGGTATTGACCCATGGCCAAATATCCATGCGTCGATTTGTATGTCTTTTTGTTTATCCCCCTATCTGTCTGCCAATATATCTGTCTATCAGACTATTTATCTGTCCTTGTTTATCTTTGTAGCTGTCTGCTCTCTCTATCTGTATCTGTCTGTCTGTCGGCCTGCCTGTCTGTCTACCTGTTTGTTTGTCTGTCTTTCTGTCAGCCTAGATCTGTCCAGCTATCTTACTATTATCTATGTATCGGTATATCTATCCGCCTATGTTTCTACCTCTTTCTCTAGCTTATCCATATCTTTCTATCGACCTATCCATCCATCCATCCATCGATCCCTCCGTCCGTCCATCCATCCTTCCATCCGTCCATAGGGAGGCAGGCGCAGCAGGGAGGGAGGTAGGGAGGCAGGGGAGTTTTTTCTTAAGCAAGTAGGTATGTCGGTGCCTTCGAAAGGAAAAATGCAGTTGGCATATGGGGGTTTCTGAAAATAGGGGGCCCTAATATAGTACCTACAGTAAATAGTAGGATCCTTAATATAAGGACCCCAAAATAAGGTACCCCTAATTTTCGGAAACTCCCATATCTTGAAACCTGGGCTCGCGAAAAGGAGGTCGCTCGAGGCTGGTCCTTCAGAAGCTTTCTGATGGCGGCGGGCCTTCCTTCGCTGAGCTACCTCTTGCAGAATTTGTGCGTCCAGGCTGGCGCCACATCGGAGCAGAAAGCCCAGCCTAGTGTTAAAGCATGTTAGACCCTAACAGGTGGCGTATCAACAGCTGGACGGCATCGTTTTCAACATCTTGAACCAGACAAAGATGCTTTTCACGGCTTTCTTCGTCTACCTGATTCTTGGAAGGCGGCAGTCCCCCGCGCAGTGCTGCGCGCTTCTGCTCTTGTCCTTCGCTGGTGTCCTCGTGAGCCTCTCGGAGGCAAAGGAGGCAAAGGCCTCCGGCTCGGCGTCGGCGTCGAGCTCTGAGAGCTTTTGGATGGGCATCTGTTGCATCCTGTCTGCATCCGCACTGTCCGGCTTCGGCGGGGCAGTCTCCGAGTGGGTTCTACAGCGAGAACAGCGCAATAGCTACCTCTTTAGCTGTGAGATGGCCGTGCTTGGCTGCTCTGCGATCTTTGCGGGTCGCTTCTTGAGCGGCCTGTGCCCATGTTCGGCCTGCTTTTATGCGTTGTTTGGGTACTTCCAAGTGCAGCAGTGCAGCAGACGCCCACCTGAGCCCCTCAAAGTCAGGTAATCAGCAGGAGGAGGGTCTCTTTGAGCGATGGACCGGGCGAACCCTCATCCCGGTCCTGACGCAGGACCAGCAAAGACCCCCCCCTCAACCCCACAGCCTGAAGCACCCCATCCTATGAATCCTAAGCAGTTGTTGCCGATGTCCGCGACGGCCACAAAGTAGCAGCATTGACCAACAGCATGAAAGGGCTGGGGTGGCATCGTGGTTGGCCTCATTGCAAAGACATCTGGGAGCGTTCGCAAGGGCTTCGCAGTGATGGTTGGCCTCCTCTTGACCTGCCCCTTGGCTGCTCAGGCTCAGAAGTCTGAAGATGGGGCTCGCATCTTCCGAGTGGTTCCGTTGCTTCGGGGATTGTTCCTCGATTGAGGCGGATTGGGGGCTGCATGATTCCAAAATCTATGCCGGCACTCTCCATCCAACATCTGGAGACCCGCAAGCCTCTCCCACGCAATTCCCCGTAAGTCGAAAGTGCGGCTCCGTGTCTCTGAGCCTTCACTTCAGACCCCTTACTAGAACTAGAAGATGCGAGTAACTGAAGGCTTTCTGCTGTGGAATCAACATCATGGCAACCATGTAACATCCTTTCACCAGCACCTGCAACCATGCACCCCGAACAGCCGCATGTCTGATTACTTTATTGCGCCCTGCAGTTCAACAGTGACAAGGCTTGCTGAAGTGGGCGGTGGAGGGCAAAGAACTTAGTTGGTCAGCTGTCGTTGCAGTGCCGCTGGTGGCTCTGGACCTTTACAGCAACGCTTTTTGAGGGGCTTGGGATAACTTTCAGTCGCGAGTGGTTCCTGAGGGCTTGGTTGCAGAGGCAACGTAGCCCAGAAGATGCTGGCTGCTGAGGTCTTTCCTTGAGAACGTAGGGTGATATACTTGTCTTCCCAGCTTCGGCCTGAGACCGCCAACACGAGGTGGCACTGAGCATCTACCTGCACGCGCGATATCCCCCTCAAGCCTTGGCAAAGAGGTCCTAAGTCCTGCTGTTCGCAGCGGAAAAAAATGCCGGCCGTTTGCGGGGCTGCTACTGCAAGCAAACAGGTAAAAGATATGTTCCCCCATTCTCCGAGCGAAAGCACAAGATTCCAGCCTTCCGGAACATGGAATGTGCCGCGGCAGTCTGTGCTTTTGGCATGTAAGGATTCCGAGATGACCGTGTCGGACGACCGCGGCGCAGAGGCTGTCGGCAGTTTGAGTTATCGGGCGGCGATGCATCTCACAGCATGGTCGCAGCAAGGGTGCGCGGTGACACCGTCTAAAGGGGCGACTGAATGAGGACCTGTGGCTAGCAATATGTGTGTCGATGCTCCTTCGAGTGTCAACAACTCGGAGCTGGTGAGCGATGCTCTGTCGGTTGATGCTGAAGTTCTGCGCAGATTTGTTTCAAGAGTGTGGGGATCGGTGTCTAGGAAAGGCGAACAGCCCGACTGCCCGCCTCAAATCCGAGTCGACTGAAGCCCGAAGCTTGAGCTTCGAACAAAAACTACCGGTCCGGGACCAGGCGCTAGCAATTGGGTTTTGGCTTTGCAGGCTCCGGCCGAATCTGGAGGTGCAGTGCCGGCCGACACGGGGGCTGGGGCAACTTGGTACGTTTAGACTCCACCAGTTCAATTCCATCACAAGCCTCAATAACGGAGGCATCTGGAATGCGTCATGAAAGAAGAGTCTAGAACGACTGTGACCTGATCATCACACGCAAAAGACAGACGAGACGAGAAAGGCGAGAGAGGTTTGTTTCGAGGGGTCACCGACTTCAGAGTGGTTCGGCACATTTTTGCATCCAAGGTTTCGGCGCCCACTGGCCATGCGGAAGAGACGCCCGGCTCTCGGTCGGGAGGGCAGTTGGGTTCCGAGACCTTCCTCGCCCTTCCAATCTGTGCCACGTGGGATGCTACTCAAATAGAGCCAGAAGCACTATGACGGCCAGCGGCCAGCGGCCCGCGTTGGCCAGCGTGGCCAGATCCGCGGTTCGAGTTGCGACCCCTCTCATCCTTCGAAACGCATGCCGACACTTGCCGAATGGATCGCTGTTCTGTCTCGATCTTGTCCTTCGTCGCGATCGGAAGTCGATCTCACACCTATTGTGCCCAGTCCTGCGCTCCGCGGCAGCACCACCTCAAAGCCGCGGCCCAAGTTCACTGCGAGCCCTTTCTTTGTGAATCGTTATAATGTGTCGTCATAATGTCCAGGCCGCTTCAGCTGTATGTTATGCCAATACGTCATAACCCCCGGTACTGTCGCTTTGGTATTCAAAGGATCTGTGCCATGTGTGCTCGGTGTTTTCTGGAGCTTTTGAGAAGATCGTAAGCGAAGACATATCAGTATGCAACTGCCACGTTCGCGCCTGTAACCAGTGCGTGGGCGTCGTTGCTGTTGATTAAGCGCGCCCATCTGGATCTGCATGTTTTGTGACGCCGTGGCAAGGTAGATATCAGAGCAACATGCACCACTGAACGCGTAGTTTGCTGTCTTCGACATGGAAAGGTTTAAGGATTCGTTTCCTTACAAACAAGACACCCACTGCAAGCTTGTTAATTTGCTCCTGCCACAGCTCCTGAGGCAGACTCGCTTCGATGCAGAGCCACCCGAGCAGCATGCGATCCCAACTGAGCAGCCTGCAGCACCTCCGGCAGAGGAGAAGGACATGGGTCTGCTTTTTGGTGGATTGTCGAAGTACTGTCGCGCATATAGGGGAAGTGTTAAAACGCTTGTGGGTCGGTGCTGTTTGCTTTCGCGGCTCCAAGTCTAAGTGCCCTTCACCTGGCGAGGCTCGTGCCCCAGGAATGTCTCGCCGGTCATTGATACAATGATGCAAGAAGTAGCCCATTCCCAGCTGCGAATGAGTCTCCACCCGGATAGGCCTTCAGATTCCTAGGAAACACTCTCTGATTGAGCTGAAACCCTAAACCCTAAACCCTAAACCGTCAGGAGGAGGTTGCGAAGAAGCCGAGCCGAGCCCGAAAGAGCTGGTTTGGGCGCTGAGGGCCGGGCCAGGGCCAGGGCTTTCCGAAAAGCGGATGATCCCGGCATGTAGCCTCATTTAGGGGTTTAGGGGTTTAGGGTTTAGGGTTTAGGGCATGTAGCCTCATTTAGGGGTTTAGGGGTACGGTTTAGGGGTTCAGGGGCTTCACACATCATTGGACAATCATTCCAGGTTTTTTTTTTGTGGTGGGTTTCAGCTGGCTGCGCAGTTGCACAGCTCGCGGTCTCTCGCTCCGGCGTAGCATTCTTGCAAGCTGCAGGGGAGCTTGGCCCGCTGTGCAGGCCAAGACAGGACTTTGTCGAGTGCACGTAGGATTCAGTGCCCTGCCAAAGGCAAGACGTTGGCACTGCGTCTGAGGTGTTCTTTCAGCAGTTCACACCGAAGACAGGGGAACTTGAAGGGCTTCAACTTGGGCTGATATGGTTTGGAAGGCAACTGTCCTCTTGAGTTCAGCTAACGGGTGGTCGGCTTAATTCTGTGCACTGACTTGCGCGTGCCTTTCACAAATTAACGAGCAAGCCCAGTGTCGGCTGTGCTGCCAACAGCTTGGCTCTGCAAAAGGTTGTGCGTCCAGACGGCGGGGGCATGCGCTCGTTGCGATTGTTTTGGTCGAAACAGATGTCTACGATGCACATGGCTTTACCAGGTAACCGTGAGTTGCTTTGTGCCGCGTCACAATCTGTACGCTGCGACACGTAATTGCAACTCTCAGGCTCGAACGTGCAGTTCTGCTGACTCAGAAGGCTCGTCGAGCTCTGATGTTGTCAATCCTCTTCGAAGCAGCGGGTGACAGAACTTGATGCCTTCCAGACGAGTAGTCTTGTTTGCCGGTGAGCCCCTGTGCAGAGAACCCGGCCAATGCCTAAATGCTTCAGACAAACATCTCCTTCAGAGCCCTTCTTGTTTTGGGTTGTTCTGCCACGTCTGTGGAGCAAGTGCCTGAAAGCCTTGAATGCGAAGCCCTGCCCGGCCTTGCCCAGACGGTGGACATTTGCAGCGAGGGGCCGCTGGAAGTGCTCGAGAAGTGCGGTGCCACAGATGTCACAGAATCCTCAGGGCAGTCACGAGTTCTGCAGTTGGCCCAGGGCTTGGGTGTGATAACATCTTGCGGTTCCATTGGCTCCGCTGCTTTTGCAGACGATTCGGGGTCTGGTGGTAAGCTTGCAGTTCGTGGCTGAGCTTTCGCAGTGGAGCGGAAGCTTCAGCCGGGAGCACAGTCCAAGAGTTTCACAGGTTCCGCAAATACTCGTACTTGCTGTCGGAGAAGGTGGAAGGCCAGGGGGTAAGCTGAGCTTCAGCTGCTGCACCTCGTCGGCCGAGGGCCTTGTGTGCCGCGATCTTCGGGATGAGTGGGGGCAGAGGATCCTGAAGCCTTCACGGGTTTTGTTATGAGCTGTGACATGCCCCATCGCCATGCCTAGCAAGCGCATTAGGTGTTTGTTAAATTGAAGCACCAGGGAGAAGGTTACTGGTTGATAGATGCCGAAGACGTGAAGCGGAGCCAAATGGCCACGACGGCAACACCAGTCTTCCGGGCAGCTGCATGTTGCCGCGCCCACGGTATTGTGCTCTGCCGCAGACTTCGACCCGACTGACATCGACGCCTGCCGCGAGCGCTTGGTCCTGAGCCGCAGTGTGCCGTGCAAGGGCCGAACAAAAAAGCATGTACGAGTATCAGAATTTGAGCGCCCACTCGTCCAGGGCCGGATGTCCTGAGATGAAGGTAGCAGCTAGTTTTCACCCACTGCTACGAGTTGAGACTTTCGTGCCCTCTCAGAAACCCGAGGCATCGAGGGCTACCGAAATGCGAAGTACGAAGTGCAAGTTCTCTCTGAGAGCTTCATGGACAGCAGCCGAAGTGCTGACATTGAATTCACGCTAAGCATATTTGTTCACTGAGCTTCTTTCGTCTCTGCAGGATTTCCCTTTCTTTCGGCTGCGATGCGCCAACATGATTGAGACGTTGGCTGAGAAGGCTCCCAAGACAACGAGTGGCTTTGTGAAGCACAAAGTCCGAGGTTTGTCGCGGTGTTGTCCTCGATGTTGTGAATAGTGGTCGCGACGAAATTGACACTGTGAATGGAGGCCTTCGGCACATGCCCCATGCACGAAAACGAATCTAGCCTTGGTCGAAACGAGTCAGGCTTTCTCGACCGTTTCTTCCCTGTCACTAGCAGAGCTAGCCGCTAGCCACTACGGAAGCACCCGGCCCCTCGGCTTGCTGGCATATTGTACGCAAGGCTTCTGACTTTCAACCTCTTGGCATCGCTATGCAACAGCAACACCGTGAAATGCTGCATGGCCCTCCGCAGGCCGAAGCCTTGGCACAGGAGTGCCTTCGCCATGGCCTGAGCCGGTGGTCGTTTCTTTGCTTCAGAGTTTGACATCGCAGGGTGGAGTGGTTTTTATACCGGGTCGTCAGAGCTCGATTCGCCCGGCGGCAGCCATGTTTTGCTGGCAAGTCTTTCGGCCAGGGCAGTGCAACGCCAACATTGAAGAGAGGGCAGATGCCATTTTGGAAGAGTGGGTGCTCGGCTCAGTTCGGAGCGAAAAAGTGACGGAATGACAGATCAGTGAAAGACGACTCTTATGCGACCTCTACCTTGGGCAAGGACTCCACGCACAAGCGGATCCTCGCCAGCCCGGACTCGGAGAAAGACATGGCATCGCTCGCGGAATGCTTAAGAGCACGAGTATGCAAAATCCGTTCCAAAAACTTTTTCTCCTGTCAACCTCCCTGGCTCTGCAGGGTCCTTGTTCCATTCTCCGCCCTATTCTCACAGCATGTCATGATGCCAGGCGGAGCTCCGTGAGTTCATGGAGGTGGTACAGAAGAAAGTGGTGAAACCCTTGATGGCTGCAGCCTCAGGGAGTAAGCGCGGATTTGGGAATGCCTACTGGGCCGAAGACGGGCCTGATGTTTCTCTTATCGTCAAGCCTGAACCCGCAGCGTGCCCGGTACCAACGACAGCCCTGCCAGCAAACTGAGAAGCCTTTATCCTTATCTCTTTAAGGTCCGGCATTTGGTTGTGCATCTTGGGCTCCTCAACCCATCCACACCCTGCAAGGAGCGCACCCGAGTGGTGCACCAGCAGATGAACATGGTCGAGGACTTTGGACATGATGCGGGCTCCTCGAGACGGTGTAGACAGTGCATCACTGCATCCCTTTCGGGATTTGGGAGTTCCCGAGAACAAGGGGTACCTTATTTTGGGGTCCTTATAATAGGGATCCTATTATTTAGGGTACTATATTAGGGTCCACTATTTTCGGAAACCCCCATTTGTCCTTGGCTCTCTGGAAGTAGGCCGCCTCCCTTGAGTTACACATCCTGGAACTGAAGTTCAGCCACCGCGTCACGAACTAATCATGACTGAAGCACAGTGAAGCCTGGCAGGTGGGTGGCGAAGTCGTGGAGAAAGCATTCCGCTCGCTGCGGCCTTTGTGCGGTTCTGGCACCACAGACAAAGGTCAAGGCAGAATCTAAACCGACTCGAATTCTCCAAGTGCACGGTGTTCCAGAGGAGCGCCAGCGCCCTTCCCAAGCTCAGGTTCGAGTGGCCTTTGCAGATCAACATGGACGTCATGGAGCCACGGGCTTGGCTATGCTCCCTTCCCATTTCGGTCTCTCGTTTCCTTTGGGTGCTCCACCGGTCGAAAAGAAGAGAATCATCGGTCGTTCTGACCGAAAGTCTCGCTTGTTCAGAGGGTCCCCGGGAAACAAAGCCGGCTCCGTTAACAGAGGGGAAGCCTGCGCTGCACGTATGTCAGGGCCGACCGCCAGTTGAACAAAGACAAGATCGCCTTTATGGCCGCAGCCTTGGAATGCGGCGGGTCTTTCTGCTCCTGTCAGCCTCTGCAGGGTTAGTCAGACCGATTTGTCCCGGACCATCGTCTTGCGCTTTATCGTTGTGCGTTGCCTCCATGCCTACTACAGTATACTATTTTGGGGGTTCTTCATTATAGTATAGTATACCCCACCCTAAACCCTATTCTAATTATTAAGGCCCCTACAGTACCACTAAGGAGCAGCTCCAGCGCGAAGTGGAGGAGTACCAGAAGGACTTCCAGAATTACTCTGCCGTCTCAACCCCAGGTCTGATGTTCAATCCACTGCAGGACTCTCCAAGGGCACTCTTTAAAAAGAAGCCTAGGGACCAGATAGTAGGGTTTAGGGTTTAGGGTTTAAGATTCGACCACGTGGCTAGCCCGTAGCCCAAGGAATTGGAATGGGTCAAGGGCCTGGACTCCTACGCCGTGGCCGGCCAAGTGGCGCAGAAGATCTTCTCGCTACAGGAGAGCTTGCTATGGGGCAACCCAGGGTCTGGGTAGATCGGACTTGGGGCTTGAAGCTTCCATCGATACGAGCGCTAGCCTATGGCTCAGTATAACGGCCCGTGCCAAGGAGTGTCAAGGGATATTTTTGGGAAGACTATGAACTAGCATGAGCATGGCTGCATGTCGTGACTAAATTCAACACGAATCCTCACCAAAGCCTGCGAAGTGAGTCAGCCGCAGTGCATCACTTTCAGTAAGTATCCACGGCAGTTCTGCGAATGCGCCCGCAGCCTTCATTGGCCGTAAGCCCAGGAAGCCCACCATCAGCCATCAGCTTCCAACAGTGCGAAACAGCTTCGGCAACCGAGAAGCCATTTGCCAAATTTCCCTAAAAAGCCGCAGGACAATCTCGTCAGAGCGACGGAGAGGGTCGGACTCTTAGAGGGGACCCAAAAATGAAATCGTGAACTCAGGGCCTGGGTCTGGGCCCCCTGGTCAGGGATAGGAGATTCACTGGCGTCCTGATGATTTGCACCTTCTCAGTGCTTGAGAATGTTTCAACAACAATAACTTGCATGCAGGTTCGCGGCCGCATGGCTGCTCACATGAGTTGTGCTGTATGAGTGTCGGTGCAGATCTCCTTTCACCCGTTAACCTCGCAAGAGTTGTGGCAAGTGTCTAGGTTGCAGGTCTGTTCTGATGGTTCATGTAATTTGCATGACCGGGGATCGATGAATTGGGTCTCTACCTCGCTCTCTGAATCTCTCAGCCTCTCCTGCCGCCCTCTGGCAGCCGAAATCAGTGCCTCTTCCACCAAGGCCGCGTAGCCGCCACCTGTAATCCCTTAGTCAATCGCTTCCTTCGTCGTTGCCTTTCAGCATGTGTACAGCATTTGCAAGGTCACTCCATCTTGGATAATCTTCAATGAAGTCCAGCGAAGTCTTTAATAGCAAGGTCAAGTCTTTCTCTGACCGGGAGAAGCTCTTTCAGATCGACCAGCGCGACTATTCTGATCTCGAAGCCGGGGCCTGACGTCCTTAAGGGAGACCATATATATATATATATACATACACACACACACACATATATATATATATATACATACGTATACGCAGATAGAAGCTTATACGTATATAGATCTTTGGAAGCCCAGTTTAAGCAGTACAACTACCTTCGGCGGCTCTCACCTCGAAGGTTCTCCAGGATGAGTTCAAACCCTACTTCGACCTCTGGTCCATGGCCATCGACTACAATGGGTCAGCGCCTGAGTTCCCAACAACTGGTTTGTTGGGATACCTGCAGCTGCGACAGCTGCTGAGGTCTATGGCCGGAGCTTAAGAGTGCTCGGAAGTGGTGGTGAACCCTAAAGCTCTGCAGCATCTTTTGTTACACAGATCACAGGCTCCTTCACCCCACGTCGCTCTACATAGCTTGTTCAGCCTGAGCTAGATTACACCAATCGAACATCCTGTTGATCTGTTTGGCGTTTATGTGCCGTGGCGAGGTGTGAGGAGGAATGGCTGAGCGGAAAGCTTGCAAACTTGACAGCCAACGAAGTGGAGCAGACCGTCGACGACAACTTCAAGGACCCCGGCGACCAAACGGCCGACTGCACAAAGAAGCCTAGGTCCGAGGTCTCAAGCAGCAAAGCTTCGCGCCACTGCCAGGATTCATACAAGGCCTTCAAATCCTTCGAGGGGTCGCCGAATCCACAAAAGGTGGCTCAGGACACTTCGCGTTTGACTGCCTGGATGCCGCTCAGCCTCTGGGTTCTTTCCTTCAGTCTTCTCGTCTCGCACCGGAGAGTAATTCAAGGACAATGGGCCCAATAAGCGAGGCGTTTGAAAGCCTAAGCAAAGGTAGACGCGAGCCTGTGGCCAGTTGTTCAGCCTCTGGAAGTTTCTCCCGTTTTCCTCTTCCTGGAATCCACTGCAGGAGCTCAGAAGCGCAGTGCAGGCCTTCAAAAAGAACATGCCCATCATCCAGGCGCTCGAGCTGCGGCAAAGATGTTGGGTTGGGCAGTGCTCATCTGCAGTGCAGTGCGCTTGAGCGGCTGTGCGCTTAGGGACTCTGCCAGCCGGCCATCAAGACCTCGCACCTCCTTCAGCTCTTCGAGGCACGCTTCGTGCAACACTGCCGCGGGTTCTTCCGATCGAACCGCGAGACTTGTCACTGCAAGGATATGGATGTTGACATCGATATGGAGGATGGTCTGACGTTGACGATGCTACTTTGATCAATGGAGTTTCTGATCAGAGCATGTATGCAGAAACATGCTATGATCACCAGAACAGCCGCATAGTGATGTTGACCCCAATCCTGTACAGCTGAACATGCAACAGGAGGGGTGCAAAGGAACGAGGGCAAGAGCAGATATAGATATTCCATTGATCAGATTGTCAGGTGCTTGGAGGCAGGTATGCTCAACCACATCGACAAGGCACTACACTACGTTTATCGGTGTACGAACGATTGGGGGTACCATGGGGTACTCGTATGCACAGAAGTGGATTCCGGCCGTTTTGCTTCAAGGGACCTGTTGTCGGCAGGGCACGAAGGCTCCGGGCGCCCACGCGAAGCCACAAAGATCAACGACAGGAGTGATGCCTGAGGGTTTGGTACCACTGAACTAATTAGTTCGTGGTGCTTCGGGCTGCTTTATGGTTTTGACTATTAACAGCCCCTGGACCAGCGAAAACCTCGGAGTCGCGGATCTTCTGCCGTGATCCCTACTTCCCGGTGTCAGGTGGAAGCCATCAGCACGTCGGCTCAGAAGCAGCATGGGTTGAAGGCTGGGGGTATCTTGGGATGGGGAAGCCTTGTGAAGCTCAAGCGCGTCAGCGCATTTGCTTGACGGGGTGGGGCAAAAAAGTCTTGGGTACAGGATCGGGACTGGATTCAGTGCGAGGCAACTGTGATTTCTTGATTGCACAGGTGGCACTCCAAACCATGAAGAACGAATGGAAGTCGATGGCGTCGCCTGGCCAACAGTTGTGTTTTAAGCCGCTATGACGGGGCTGTGTCGCAGGAACATTCAATGATAGCATTTCACTGTGTGAGTTGTGTTCAGTCATGCTAAACCTGATGGGCTCCACAGCAAGGAGCGGAGGACGTCTCAGTGATACAGTAGCTGAGGTGCAGACCCGACCAGAGAACCTGAACAGTTCGGATTGAACTGCTAGGAATTCAAGTCCGTCTCGAGTCAGGGCAGGCAGCTGCAGTGCTTGTGATGTGTATCATGAACTGATGGGTACAGCGTGGCGACCCATTCAACTCAGTACGTTGATCATGAGCAAGCGAAGCATGAGCACGTAGGAACTGGGCGCGACGCCAAGGTTTGGAACCCTGCCCTACAAGAACACGGGCACATTTCTTCTCAAAGGACGGAGCCTGCGGGCCGGCATCGGGATTTGCACTCACAGAGTCCCTGACTGAGGGCCAGGATCGCACTCGGAGATTTGGCTTTTCTTGCCCGGTGATACTGATAGACCCGCCATGGCGTTGGCATGGCACTCACACACGCACAGACGCAGGCACAGACTGCACGCATGGTCCGACCGCGGGAGAAGTTCAAGTCCCGCAGGGGCCAACTCTCTCCTGCAAGCTCCCCCACAAGGGTCGCTCAGATTCAGCCACGTTTTCAGAAGTCTGGCTCTCCATGACGGCAAGGAGCTGATGATGTGCAGGCTCTCCTGGACGATCACATCATCAAGACCCAGGCCCCGCAAGAGTCGAAAGCTGAAAGGGGGCGGGGAGAATTCCACCTTTCGGGACATTGCAGGATATTGCAGGCCAGGGGCTCGATGCACGCAAAACTCACGACAGCCGACACCCGTCGGCCACGATCCCCCACAACAGCAAAAGCCTAAGCCTAAGCCAAATCCAAGAGAGAGAACTTTGGGCGGGAGGGTTTGTGATGCCTTTCTGTGGCCATGTCCTGAGCGGAGTGTAAGCCTCAAACTCCCATGGCTCAAGTCCGAGGCCGTTCGAGGCTCGCCCTTCGTCAAGCCCATCGAGAAGGAGGTCAAGGTCAGGAGATGTCAGGAGCTCTGAGAGCTGATGAGACTCGAGCCCTTCATGCAGGACTGGGAAGCCAAGCTCATCTACATCCAGGACGCAGGGCGCAACGCAGGGCGTAACGCAGTCGTGACAGCTTCGCCGAAGCATGTCCTGTTGCTGTTTGGGTGTGTCCGGACCCTCTTGATGCAGCAGCTCCTTCCTTACCTTCAGCACAGCGGGGGCCCAGTAGTCTCAGACAGCAGTCGGTCAAGGACCGTCGTGTAGTGCCGATGGGCTCAAACTCCTTGCGCAATTAACGCTAGGGGCATGTCCCAGCCGTCTTCCGTTCGAACGTGAGTGTGCGCGTGCATGTGTGTTTGTATGTTCACACGCATGTCTTAGAGCTTTGGATATAGACTGAGACTTGGCACAGCCTTTGTCGCAGGATTTGCTGGAACAGTGGCTGATGGTTCAGAGGCGATGGGCATGTACCAACCGGGAGCTGGTGAGATACTGTAAGGGCTGATCTTGAATCAGGTTACCATCCGTTGCAGTCTGCTCAGCTGAAGTGGGTTTTTTTGATTGAAAGGATCTTGTTTTTTGGACAGTGGGCCATCTGGGGTGCCAGTCTTCGGTCTCAGGGCCGCAGAATGCCGCAGAGCTCCGAGTAGGGTGAAGGACTAAGTATCCGTGGTCGTCCAAGACTTTGCTTGGGGTTGGGCGCAAAAGCCAAAGCGGACAGCACGTGCATGTCCAGGACTCGAAGAGTCAGGGGACAGCAATATGACATTGAAGTTGTTGTAGTTGAAGTAAGGATGCGAGAGGATTTGGCGTGACTGCCAGGGCTTGAGAACTCGATCGCATGTTTGATTCTTTGATGGTGCATTTTCGGAGATAAAACCGCACCGCATCAAGCTCCACCGTATCCGGCCGCTGTTGGGAAGCATTCTGTTTCAGACCTGGTCTGTGGTTTTGAGTTGTTGTGAGCAGATGTACTGGAATGAGATCTTCTCAAGAAGCTGTGGCAGGACATGGCTCTACCTGGAGCCAATCTTCAGCTCTGAGGACATCGCTGGCAGCCCAGCTATCCTCGGGGGGCATCGGGCTTCAGATTCCTGGGCCTTTGGCCTTCAATTCAGATGACACCGCAGGAGGTCGGCTCTTGGTGCTCAAGGTTTGTTGGTATGCTGGCCATCCTTGGCTGCAATCCGATGCAAGCTGAGAGATGTCTCCCTTTTTCAACGCTGAGTACAGGTCCTGGGAGGATGTATTTCCCAAAAACTAAGCTGCTGGTGACTGAGGGTGACAGTGTGTTCTCCTGCCCAGGTCCGACAAATGCCCGGGGAAGCCAAAAAGTTCCAAAATGTGGACAAGCTGTGGCCTTGGCTCTGTCATGCGGTCGCACTGCACTGCCTTCATGCCGCCTGCAGCGTGCTCGGTCTTGAGATCTCTACCCTGAAACCGAATCCTGTGCTACCCTTAGCATTCCCATCCATATACTTTGGCATCGCCAGGATGTACAAGGGACACACAGCACAAAGCATGATGCAGCAGGGACGGGATTCTGCCACAGAGGCTCAGGTGGCCCAACCAGGTAGAGCCTGCGACGAATATTTGTAGAAATCAGGCTTTACAGATGGGTTTCCCGAGGCTCTGGCGTGACACAATGGCCGCAGTGGATGAGAATCCGACAGCTGGCACCCCGGGTTTGCTGAAAGACTGGATTCAGGCCTTGTAGTGCTTGTAGGTAAAGCTCTTAAGAAAATGCATTTCCACCATGGACTTCCGAACCCTCAGGAACTGGGTCAGTCCATTCGTGACATCCAGACAGCCAGGAACAGCTAGACAGTTCGAGACTTCAGCTTGGGGGTCGCTGTCCCATCTTCGAGGAGGTTTTGCCCTGCGCAAAATCCTTGTGCAATATGGGTGGTTGTCAAAATTATGGTCCTTTTTTGGGTCCTTATTATAATACGGCACCTATTTTTTAGGGTGCCCCAAAAGCGACCATAATTTTGACAACTACCCATATGACAGGATTGAAAGCATCAGTCTCCAATGAAGGTCATCGCGGCCCCTTAAATTTTTGAGCGTATCCAACCTCTGGCAACAGCTCCGTTTTAGACTCTCTCTCTCTCTCTCTCTCTCTCTCTCTCAGTCTCTCTCACTGTCTCTCTCGAAGCCCGTATGCACCTGTGACCCAGTCAACTTAGCTTTTCAGGTCTTGGATGTGACAGAAATCGAGAATTTGCTGGTCAACTTTACCGATGGCAACAAGAAGTGGGCTGCCCCAGAGTCCTGGCTTCTCTGTAGTACAGGTGTATTGCAGCGACTTGACCAGTCGGGTCGAGGATGTGATGGAACGCAATCCTGTGGGTGTAGGGTTTAGGGTCGGGTTGTTCACCCAGTGCGTCAAAGGGGCATTAACCAACTCGGAGCAGGATATTGGAACTTGAGCACATTCCCGCCAAATGCTTTTCCGTCTTGAAACATATGCACTTCATCTTCGTGATGCTCGGTTTGGATAGGGTGCCCAGCCTGGCAAGAGCAAGGTCCGGATTGATCCGATCCTTTCCTCAAAGTTTCCCAGCAATTTTCAGCCCCGGGCAACTGCCGCGGACAGAGAGTCTTCGCCCCAATTAAACTTGATGTCTCGTGTCTGCGGAGCCGTTTATCTTTTCGAGTTCGAGAGCTGCCGCCTGCACCTGTTGCCATGGCTCGCCCTGTGATTGCCCTGCTCGCCGTGGCCGTGGCGGTGGTTTCCGGGCAGGAGGTTCCCAATGCGCCGGCACCAGCAGAGGAGAGCCCAGCAGCCCCAGTGCCAGCAGCCCCAGTACCAGCAGCCCCTGTGCCAGCAGCCCCGGTGACCCCGGTCATCGCGCCGCCTGAGGAGCTGACTGGCGGTGCGCTGGTGGCCTTCACTCGCAATGAATACTTGGAGGTGTTGGCCAAGGAGGGAATTCCAGCAAGCAGGGGGTGCTGGCTTTATGGAGACTACTTGAACGACATCCCCGGTGTGAACGACCCCGTCTCCTGTGCACAGGCTTGCAGCTTGGACGAGAAGTGCTTTCATTGGAACTTCAAGTTCATGGTGAAGCGCTGCGACCTGAAGGCCTACAATGGTGGTGTGAATCAGGACATCGGTGATTGGATCACCGGTGATGCGGCGAGGTACTCGAACCCCCCCGCCGTGATCGTGCCCTGAGCAGCGAGCGGTGGCTCTAAGACTGGCAATGTCCCAGTTGAATTCAACATGCTAAACACTGAACACACCTCTCGCCGAGGATGCTTGTAAGCTTCGAATTAGGGACCTTACTCACCGGTGGAGCCTTTTTCGGCGAGATGCTGCAGGTACGAT